ATAACGAACCACGCTTTTCCCCATATTCCATTCCCCGGCCCTGTAAGTTATAACCATCGTAACGTATAAATCAAATCTCCATCGCTCAGGTGTTGCTTGTGTATACAATACGTATATAAATGTGTATATGTGTATGTGTGCGTGGTTATTACACCTCTTGCGGCGATCTCTCTTTGTCGGTGACTGGTGGTGGTTCGGCGGATCTATCAGCAGGTATTTACCTACCGCAAAAGCATTTTATATGACAACCGCCTCTCTTTCGTTTGCAGATTCCACAACCTCAGTATCGCTATTTTTGGTAAATTGGTTGACATTTGCGTTTCGAGCATTGTTTATTGTTGGCATAGTACGATAGTATTCTTAGATTCTCTCATACGACACGTATGAAAGCGATTAAGCGAAGCCGTGGAATTGGAATTTACGGAATGATTATATTTCGGGGGGAATGGACTATTCTATTCTTATCTGGAAGAATTATCCTTATGTTCCTTGATTTAATCTATCCTGTTACCACGCATTATTGTTTTTTTCTGGTTTTAATAAAACCTGAATGCGAAAGCTTTTTTTGAGGAATTAATAAGTATAAACCCATTTCTAAGTATACAGCTTGGAGTTTTGGTTTATGGTGAGCCGCCAATGGTTATAGATGCAATGGACATGTCTGGATTGTGGCCTATTTTGTTGTGCGAAAACCACAGTGACTGTAAATTTATTTTTGACTGCTGGATTTTATTCTTATGAGTTTGAGGCTTGAGTTGGATCTCTGTTCCTTTTAGAGGAGGAGACACTGGAGCACTGCACTTTGGTGTGATATGAAGTAGTTTATATTCTCTAGGCTTGCCAAAGGGATGGAGAGCAAGGCGTTCTATTTGAGGGTGTTTTGGCTGCAGTCTGCTGGGCGATAATGCCATGACTGCATTTCCTGTCTTCAATATTCCACGCTCTTCATAGTTTGCAGCTCACATGCATAGTAGCTGTTGCTTGACTACTTATTTGCTTAAAATTGTTCTTATTTTGTGATGAAATGTGTCAAATGGTCAATGCTAGATTTCTTTTGGTATTTAATTTTCAAATGATAAAAACTTGCAGAGCTAAGGTCTCTGATACTTGCGTCTCTAGAAGATTGGTTTCTTTTGGAGCTCAGTCAGAGATGAAAGGAGGAAATGTTGTCAGATTCTGGGGAAGACAATTTACTCTTGCTCTGGTTGCGCTTCTATTTACAAGCATAGTGTTCTGGTACTGTGAGAAAAATCCGCTTCTCACTAGTTTATTGTCAACACAAGATCAGTTTATAATGCAGTCCTCAGGTTTGTTTGTGGAGCCATTCTCTGTTGCAAAATGTGAATTTCTCCCTTAATAGAGATCAAGTAGTATATCATGATATCATAATGTGTTCCTCATTACAGAATTTCTGGTGGTTGAGCCTGCTGATTCTTCACTGTCACTAAAGTCAGAAGAGGATAATACTAGTAATGAATATTCAAATAATGGAATAACAGAAGTGACAAACACTGAAAACAGAGCAAATGATTTCGGTGGTTATGAAACAAATGTGACGGACACATTTTTACCTAGAAGGAAAGAGGAGAACCACATTTTAGCTTCTGGTTTTCAGAAGGAAGGTAGGACAGTAGACTTTAGTGCTTATTTTACAATCTTATATTTATGGGCTTATTTGTGAGAGTGAGTTTTGGTTTTGGGAATATTTCTTCAAACTCTGTGAGAGACACCAATTGCTTACATTTGTATCTGTGTCATTTCCCTTTTGCACAGCTTGTAATTATGCTAAAGGCAAATGGGTTCCAGACAGTAAGCACCCACTGTATTCTGGATTGGGGTGTAAACAATGGTTATCAGATATGTGGGCCTGTAGGCTGACCCAACGTACTGATTTTTCCTACGAGGGATATAGGTGGCAACCAGAGAAGTGTGAGATGCCAGATTTTGAGGGTTCCAATTTTTTAAAGAGGTATGTATCCCTTTCGTCATCGTCAATTTCTCATATACTCTTCCAATGAAAGTTTTTATATTCAAATCAGCTTTAAGGTCGTGGCATTCTACAAATGCAGTTCCACTTCCTCTAGCCCAGTGTGTAAACTTGATAAAATACTACTGGATAAAACAATATAATATGTTGTTTTGTTCTTCTGTACCCCAATTACTAATAAACCAAATGAAATTTGATCAGAATGATAATGCACATCCCATCTTCCATGAATTAAATGTCTTCTCAATATGTTTGGAACTAATGCTTCATACTTAAATGTAACCGTATTTCAGAATGCAGGACAAAACTATTGCTTTTATTGGAGATTCTTTGGGTAGACAGCAATTCCAATCTCTAATGTGCATGGTCACTGGTGGAAAGGGGAGACCAGAAGTTGAAGATGTGGGATGGAAGTATGGCCTGGTCACACCACGTGGAGCTGTACGTCCTGATGGATGGGCTTTTAGGTTGCCTAATACAAATACCACAATTTTGTATTATTGGTCAGCGACTCTTTGTGGAATAGAGCCACTCAACGCTGCTGATCCAGCCACTGAATTTGCTATGCATTTGGATCAACCTCCAGCCTTCTTGATTACTTATCTTGACCAGTTTGATGTTGTGATACTGAATACAGGTCATCACTGGAATAGAGGGAAGATCAATGCAAATAAATGGGTGATGCATGTAAATGGAATGCCAGTTCGAGACAGGAAACTTGCTGCATTAGGGAATGCCAAAAATTTTACTGCTTATAGTATTGCCCGATGGTTTGACAGACAAATTAAATTTCGTCCACAGCTTCAAGTTTTCTTTCGTACTATATCCCCAAGACATTTCTCCAATGGGGAATGGAACACTGGAGGTAGGTGTGAAAATACCATTCCACTTACAAAAGGGAGTGAAATCTGGCAAGACGAATCAAGTGACCCTGTTGTTGGGGGCGCTGTGAAGGGTACCAATGTGAGAATATTGGATATAACCGCTATTTCTGAACTAAGGGATGAGGCTCACATCTCTCATTACAGTTTAAAAGCTTCAGTGGGTGTAAATGATTGCTTGCATTGGTGCCTACCGGGCATTCCTGATACATGGAATGAAATACTTGCTGCACAGCTTTAGCCTAAAAAAAAAAAAAAAAAAAAAAATCCTCTGATAGTGCATTGATGGAAGAAAATATGCTCTGTACCTTTGTGTAAGTAGAGTTCTGCAGGAATGTTGTTCCATGTTGTATCAACAGGAAGAGTGGAAAACTACAGGGCTGCTCAGCTGCAGAGAAGGTAAACAGTTTCACAAAGAAGCTTGTATGTTGAGGATAAATATGGAGTAGGTTAGTTTTGCTTGAAAATCCTCATGTAAGGCATCAGCTTAAATCCTTCAGGTTCTGGAAATCCTTTAAAGGTTTCCTGGTTGTAATACAGAAACTTTGGATCATATAGCAGACAAACCGTCAGTTTAGCATTTTCCGGCCAAAATTTGTTGCCAATGTGTTACTTCTACATTTGAAAGCACCAGATTTTGTTTGTCGTGTGAGTCTACTTTTTTGTTTTGTTATGAGAAGTACCACGTATATGTTGCGCAGGTTCTCATCATGTTCATGTTTGGTAGATCTCATTAATTTCGTTGCTCATACTTGAATGGTGATTTTGGCTGGTGCAGTTTTATCATTTGCATTTTAAATCCTTTCTTTCGTGAATCACTTTAAAGCACGATTTGTTTACGGGATTGGAAATAAATCTACTTTGTTATTTGTTAATACCTTTTATTTCCTCACAAGATGAGTTATTCTCCTGTTAGGGTGTTAGCCATTCTTAGTACACAAAATTACTTAGTGCAATAAGGAAAAATATTCAAATTAGCCCCAATGTCAATTGGATCTCAAAGTAAAAATAAAAAATAAAAAAAAAAATAAAAAAATCCATTTAAATCCTTTAAAGTGATAAATTGTCTAATTGAGTCCAAATTAATTTGTTTAGCAGGCTAATTTGCCATAAGTTTGATGTGTCATTTTTTAATTTTTTTTTTTTTGAAAGTTTTGTTTTTGTTTAAAAACAATATTTATTTATTTATTAGAAATTAAAAAAAAAAACAAAACAAAACAAAAAATAAATAAAAAACAAAAACAATCGAGTTATACGAATAGGTCTACGTATTGATTATGGTATGTGGGCTTGGGAGCAGTGATAGTGAATTGGAGATTTCTGAGCTGGTATATGTTAGGTGAAAGTTCAAAAGTCTCCTCTCAAGGCATTAAATGTGCCTTATATAGAAGGCTGAAGATGATACATGTCGGGGGCTCGACACGTGAGCCACGTGTAGTGCATGCATTGGGGAGGTCGGAGGCATGGCTAATAGGCCTATGTGTGAAGAGATTTCCGACACACTCGTTTCCAATGTGATCAGGTAGATTGTCATTAACTGTGCTTGTCTTCTAGAATTAAAGGCGTTCCTGCTCCGGATATCTGGTTTGAGCACTAAAGTTAAGACCGAGTCCAAGACACGTTGTGCAATAGTTAATATACTGAATGATGAATCTGTATTTTTGCTCGGGTCGGATTGGACTCCTTCAATGTTGGATGTGATCAAGATTTGCTCCATGTGATATACAGAACACATACCGAATAGATATACAATAACATGTCCAAGGAATATTTTCCATCAATTAAATTTTTTATGAAAGTCATATTTTACCTTTGAAACTTGATTTTTAGATGATTGTTTAGACCGGTAGAGTTAGAATAAAATCGCAAAAAACAACGCAGTCCAATCGTTTTAATATCAATTCCTAAATCAGGGATTCAGGGTAATGGATATGATATCGCCGGTTTACGTGTTTGACATACTCATTGAACATACAAATTTGGCCAAGTAGCAAGACTTTTTAGCACATTTGTTTCATGATCTGACAACTCCACGGCAAATTGATTTTTCCAGTGACACATACGCTCGTCAATCATCTCCCGACACGTAACCAAACACATCCACGTGGCATCCAATATCTCCACGTTTATATTAACTAGCAAGGCAGGCATAGAGGCATTGCGCTTCCCACTCCGCTCGTCTCGTTTCCATTTCTCATCTACTTCTCAGTACCCTGTTTCGGACACACAGCTTCTGCTGTTTGACCATGTCGCGGAGGAGAGCTTTCCTTGGCATTTTCGTAATTCTGGCGGCGCTCTTCGCCGCCGCAGCAACCGCCGAGGTGGAGGCGGAGGAGAAAGAATACGTGCTGACTTTGGACCATACTAACTTCTCCGACACGGTGGCCAAACACAATTTCATCGTCGTCGAGTTCTACGCCCCTTGGTAACCTAAGCTGCTTCATTTTTCCATCACTTCAAATTTGATTCTAATTTTCTCCGTGAAATTTGGTTCTTTTCTTTCCCTAGACCTGACATTTTCCTGCTTACTCTATCTTATAAAAGGTGCGGACACTGTAAGAGACTTGCTCCAGAGGTAATTCATGGGATTCAATTGCTGCTAATTAAGAGCTTGTTTTTAGCATGTCCAATGTTTCATATATATTGTAAAAGTGTTAGTTACTCAAAATTTCTTCTTTTCTTCTTTGCATTTGAATTGAGTAGTATGAAAAAGCTGCATCCATTTTGAGTAGTCATGACCCTCCAATCACTCTTGCAAAAGTTGACGCCAGTGATGAAGTAAACAAAGAACTTTCCACCAAATACCGGGTCCAAGGTTTCCCATCCATTAAGATCTTACGTGATGGAGGAAACAAGGTTCAAGATTATAAAGGCCCTCGTGAAGCAGATGGTATAGTTACTTATTTGAAGAAACAAGCTGGTCCTGCATCAACTGAAATCCAGTCCAGGGAAGATGCTTCTTCTCTAATTGATGAGAAAAAGATATTTGTTGTAAGTTGCAGTACCTCTAACCTCTGTGTTATATTCTTTCCTTTCAGCTTCTGCTCAACTGTTTGCTCATCACACTTTCATGTATTATACTTTAGGCTGGTGTATTTCCAAAATTTTCTGGGGCAGAATTTGAAAACTTCATAACTCTAGCTGAAAAACTCCGAGCTGATTATGATTTTGCTCATACACTTGACGCTAAACACCTCCCCCGGGGCGAACCAGTTGATAAGCCCACTCTTCGTCTACTTAAGCCATTTGATGAGTTGTTTGCTGATTACCAGGTATATTAACATTTTTCCCCAACTGTTCTTGATGTAACTCCTTTTCTTTTTGCTGTTTTCCTGCTCAATCTTGAACTAGCTTTACATTCTTGCAGGACTTTGATGTTGATGCAATGGAGAAATTTATTAATGAAGCTAGTACTCCTATAGTGACTGTTTTTGACAAAAATCCAGACAATTATCCCTATATTGACAAGTTTTTCAGGAGTAAATTTGCCAAGGTATGTTTCTTAAGATTTGTTATTCTAATCATCTTTCTTATGTATGCCAAGGTACCTTCTTAGTTGCATTGTAACCTACTTGATTTGGCTCAATTTATTTCTTATTTTTGTTTTTGCCAATGAATATGCTATTATGAAGTATTTTAATTTTCTTTAAACGTTGTATATGTGTAGGTGTTGCTGTTTGTGAACTTCAGTAGTGAACTTGATGCGTTCAAGTCCAAATACGATGAAATTGCAGCGTTTTATAAGGGAAAGGATATAGGCTTTATGTTGGGGGATGTCAAGTCCAGTGGTGGTGTGTTTCAGGTTATTTTCATTCTTTTTAAATATGTTTACTTAACTCATCTAGTTAGTATGTGATTTGCCCACTATTTACTCGCTAAATATTCTTCTTGTCTGGTTGTAGTACTTTAAAGTGCACGAGGATCAGGCACCTCTTGTCTTAGGACAGACAAATGAGGGCGAAAAATATCTCAAGCCAAATGTGGAACCTGATCAAATTGCAACTTGGGTAAAGGACTTCAAGGTAATGAGCTGCTGCTTCTTTTACTTTTGTTGCTGGTAGTTCTGTGTTTTATAATGCAACAGCTTGCTCGAATTTCCTATTTTCTTGCCATATTGTTGCAGGACGGTAAGTTGAAGCCATTTCTAAGCTCAGAGCCTATTCCCGAGAACAACAGCCAACCAGTGAAGGTTGTTGTCACTGATAGCCTTGAGGAAATGGTATTTAACTCAGGAAAGAATGGTGTGTATCCAATTATCAGTCCTATATTTAGTTCAAGTATAGAATTGAATTCAGTGAAACAAACGATTTTTTTTTTTTAAATTTTTTTTATGAAATAATACTTGTTATCTCTATCTTGCAGTTCTACTGGAATTTTATGCTCCTTGGTGTGGCCACTGCAAGCAGCTAGCTCCAATCTTGGATGAAGTCGCAATCTCACTTGAGAATGATCCCAATGTCATGATTGCAAAACTAGTAAGAACTCTTTATGAGATCAAAGCCTATAATCTATGTTTTATGACATTCTAAAATCCTTGATTAGTCTAGTGGGTAATCTCACACTTACTTGCTTACCTTTGCTTGCTGTTGTTAGGATGGAACCGCGAATGATATCCCGAAAGGGAAGTTTGAAGTTAAAGGATACCCAACTCTGTACTTCAAATCTGCATCTGGTAACCTGTTGCAATATGAAGGCAATAGAACAAAGGAGGACATTATTGACTTTATCCACAAGAACAGGGACAAGACTATCCAATCAGGCTCTGCAACATCTGAAGAACCATCCAAGGAGGAGCTGTAAGAAGGTTAGTTTGTTTCCATCATTTTCTATCACTCTCAGCATCAATCTTGATGACACTCTTTCCCTTTTTCCATCAAGTAAAAATGTTCATTTCTTACTCCTACTTGTCGGCATTGCTTGCAGGTTTGAAGATTTTGAGGCTAGTTCGAGTTTGTGTCTGTTGCGGAACTGAATAAAATGCTAGGCATGTAACACTTGTAGCATTTCCAATCTTGGGGTTGGGGTGTTTTCAGTTAGCTGTTAGCCCCTACCTCGTACCGTGTAACAAAACCTTAAATAAATCTGTGTTCTTCTATCCTAATCCTGCTCCATTTTTGTTCCATATTACCAGAATTTGATTCAATAGTTTAACACAGATACACAGTCAATAATACGAGAACTGATTCACAATAAGAGAAACCATTAACATTACATTACAAGAAACTACGGACGACTAAGCATGTATCTACCAAGTTATATGCACAAACTGAGTAAAATCTTGCCAAACTTAGGTGCAAGATAGACAAAAGGATTTTTTTTCTCCCTTGTGAGAAGTAAAATTTTCTATCCTCTGCCCCACTTACCCCAACCATCACCACCACCGCCAACAGCAGGTGGCTGTGGGGTGCTTTCCCAACCTCCGGCATGCTTGCTCCTCCAATTATTGAAAGGTTTGAACTTCTTCTTTAGGTTATAGGATGTAGTTTGCTGACTTCCCGCACAGCCATGCACTGACGAGGCGCCTGACCATCCAGTGGATGTTCTTTCCTGACTTTCACCCGACCACTTCCTCTTTTTGGAGACGGGCTTATGGTCTGATTTCCTTGATCCTCCCCAAAGATCCACTGCAGGTTTTTCCCAATTTCTTGATGGTGATCCTCCTCCCCAACCTTTGGTAGCTGATACTTTTGAGTCTCCCCAAAGATCCACTGCAGGTTTTCCCCAATTTCTCGATGGTGATCCTCCTCCCCAACCTTTGGTAGCTGATACTTTTGAGTCTCCCCAAAGATCCACTGCAGGTTTTCCCCAGCTTCGTGATGGTGATCCTCCCCAACCATCCGTCGTTGATTTTCCCCAGCTTCCTGATGGCGATCCTCCCCAACCATCAAGCACTGATTTTCCCCAACTTCCCGAAGGAGACCCTCCCCATACTTTGGTACCTGACTTCACCAAATTTGCGGATGGAGAAGCTTCCCAGCCTTCCTTTGCTGAATTTCTTACAGCTAAAACAGGCTTGAGGGGATTTGTTTGCTGACTTGCTTTAACAGCCACCTCCTCCTCTGTTTTAGGCCCATTTCCATCGTTTTTTATCTTTTTATTTTTAGTACCTTCATCCACCAAAGAGGAATCACCACTTTGGCCAAACAAATATTCATTTAGAGCAGAACCTTCAATTCGGCCCTCCATGAAAGCAGAGATGCGTTGGCTCGAAAGATGGATGCACTTGTATATCTTTTTCACTTCTTTTACACCAACTGCCCTTGCAACATTTTGAGACCGATCAGTGAAATCCTCAACCTGCGAATAACTAATTACCGTAAATTCAATGCCTCTAATAGAGCATTAGAAAGGCAGATCTGCATAAGCCAAGTATAATTACACTAATACAGCCAACTTTGAAGTCCCATGTTTTTGATATCCAACATCCTTCATAAGTGCTTGCACAGATTCCCTTGCACCAAAGATTCTCCACCGACAATAACTGCAATGAAGATGACACTCGAACATGTAAATTAAAATGTCAAAAATGATGTACCATAATCTAATGGTAGCAATGATGCTAACACGACCTTGATTAACAGGGTGACAAACAGCTCAGCCACTGATTCTTTATTGCTCTTTCCATAGTTTGCAAACTTAAGCACCGACTTTGCAACTACTTCCGGGCCAGCTCCTTCTAAAACACCAACCCAACCAAACATAAAAATTGACAAAGCTATTCAAGACACATGAAGTAGGCAATAAAGGCTTATGCACTGGCAAAAGATAAACGACTCTAGTGAGATGAACATTCAATTCAAATTAAGCAACACGCATACACATATATAGGCAGTATTTACTGATATTATACTAGACATATTCAGTCATTGCAATGTTTTTGGTGGGAATCTTTTAGTGCGTACCCATCAATATTTTTCAAAATGATTGAAGGTGAAGGTCATAGCTATTACCTTCGCATAGGGCAGAAAAAGGTGGCAGAATAGGGGGATTTCGCGTCTGCATGTTTTGTCAGATAAAGGGTGAAGAATAAATGAGTAATAAATTAAATTTATTAATTTTATAAAGAAGAAAAATGTGGTGGTATCAAAACTAGGACAGCAGTAAAAGTTTCAATAATATTCCATCTTCTAAATTCAGTTAAAGAAAGCGTAAGCACTCGAAATAGTAGAACACATTTTAAATTGTTTATAGCAAATCAAGAGAATAACATAAGAGACAGTTAAAGATTATCGCCTATCAAAGAAGTTTTCTCATTATTGAAAAATATTAAAAGACAACAGCTTCATTACATGAATTCTTCCAAAAATAAAGGATTGCTCTAGAAAATCCAACATTATCCATCACTCAAATGATAGAAATACATATATTAACAGGCATTATATCTATGATCCCCATGGATAGTACAAAGGAAACTATGCAAATGAGATGGGGGGAAATTATAGCAATGAATACCTATGAATTAAGGAAACAGCCATATCTCCTCAAAACAATACAGCAACTTAGACAAGCATTTACACACTTGATTTTGAGTCCATAGCACTATGTAACATCCGATGCATGTTTCACATGATACAATAAAATAAAAAATAAATAAACACACACACACACACATTTGAAAATAAGGGATATATGCTCAATATCATACCTGAAGATGAAAAGCAACCAAAAGTATTATAGATAGGGAGTTCAAAGTTTTGAACTTTGAGCTATTAATGTTTTGAGCTTTTGCCCAAGCCTTCATCTGCGAAATAGGAATGGTGAGATCCTATCACATCCTGTGTTAATATTCCAAAATGACAAAATGCTATATGTATACATGTATATGTATATATATGTATGTATATACACACACAAACGGACATCAACCTAGCCTATGAAAATAAGTTTCTTTAAGTGATTGTTGGCCCAGCTTTTGCTCCTTATAAAAAGCTTTTTCCTCTTATTTACTCCTCTCAGCCATTTTCTATTTTGTGTTTCAGTGTTTGGCCTTGCTGGTACTTATATAGGTTGTTGTTGAAAACATACTAACCTTTGCCAAATTGAATAGTTCAGAGATACGAGCATCTACAGAACACGACTTTGTATTGCAAATAAGGAAGCAGAAAATTCAATTCGCATATATATGATAATGAGAACAACTCTTTATTGAAGAAAACAAGAAAACTCACCAAGAAGCTTAATTTCCCAAACCTTTCATCAATCGAACAAATCATATGTACTATCTTAGACTTTGAAACTCCATCCCTGTTTTCAACAGATATATCACACTCAATTCTAGTTCCACGGTCAACAACTTTAAGAATAGGCACATTCGCTGTAGTTATTGGATGAACACCATAAACGTGCCCTAGTCCTGAAGTATAGAAATTCACAAATCAACAAGTGTAACCCAAAACTGCGATAATACTTTATAACTTAACTCAGTGATATCCTCTTGAGCATTAAGCAGATTAATATAATTCTAAAGAACCAAAAAGATTAAATAACCAATAATGGTAATCTGATTCTATAAAAGACAAGCAAAAATAAATGTGATATTTTATGCTAGGAAAATTAAAAAGTGCAAGATTGTACGTTGAAGTGCATATAACTTCTTCGCAAACTTCCTAAGTCTTTGAATCTTCTTCTCGCGAGTAAACTCAACACCCTTGTTCCCAAAATTAACTGATAAATCCAGATCACTTTTAGCAGTGAATAAATCCATTACAAAAGATCCAAACTCCTCCACGACAGGGGCATCACTACCAGGGCCTGAAATAAATTTTCAAAAAACAAATTTGTAGCAAGCCTTCGCCATATAATTCAAATAAATTGAAACAAAAATAATTATATGATCTCCATTCATAATATGGCAACTATATAACCTTAGGTGAGTTACAGGTTGATGCAGACCTCAGTGTAAAAGAAGCATGAAATAACCACCCAAAAAAAAATTATATATTCTATTTTTCACACTATATAAAATATAAAGTAGAAAGATAAAGTATGAAAATTACCATATATGTCCTTAGCTAATTCATTAAAGACAAAAACCAGAGCTCTTCGAAGTTCATAATCACTTGGGTTAGGGCGAAGGGCTCTATAAACGCTGTCAAACAAATCTTCTATCGCAGGAATCTTTTCCGATATCACTACATACTTCTGCAATCTCTTGCGTTCAAGCCTTTCTGATTTCTTACGAAGAACTGACATCAAAGTTGTGTTAGTTGATGAAATAGAAAGTTGTAACTGCAAGTATGGTTTCAATTTAACTCAACATTGCTGCAGTAGGCACAAGTATATGCCACCCTTAGGGGTTTACTTTACTTAATTGTATAACAAGCTATGGAGTAATTTCAAATCACTCCATTTTAGTAAGATACAAACTAACATACAATTGCAGCAAAATGGCTGTCATTACCAGTCTGCAGCATGCTGCAGGTTATCATATATTGCAAAGAAAGCAGTTTTATCTCAATGGGTGTGTATTTGCACTTAGCAATAATAATAATCCCCCACAGAAAACATAACAAAAATAAATAAAAACAAACAAGTAAAATATTGGGTGACTGCAATTTTTTCATACTGGATGTGGTTATTTAACAAATGCAAGCTATGGAAAATGGAAATTCAAGCAAGATTTCAGCTTTGTGCCACAACACTGCTGTATCCTAACAAAATAGGTAATGTAACTAAATAAATCATATCTGTACGTATAAAGACTAACCTTTAACGCGTAACACCATAGCCGTCGGAGCAGGAAGATTCGGAATCTGATATGGCAAACTCAGTCACTCCAGCAGCATCTATCATTCACTTCAGAGCTATACATGAAAGCAAAATAATACAGAAAAATAAGTAAAGCTGATCATTTTCAGACTACGGAAAAGAATTAGCACGGGGAAACATCACTTTGATGAACTGAAGAGAAATCGACCGATTAGGTGATGGGTGTTGTTCCCGTCTCCGTCGCGGACTCGCCGATGCTATTAATGCCTTCCAGTTCCAGATGTTTCTGTCCCAACCCGCGCGAGATACGAGAGCAGCATGGGATGCACTCCGTCTCCGATACAATCGGTAGTACCGTCGAAGTAGTACGCCAGGCAAAATCCCTATTGTTTG